CTTGGCGCGAGACACTACCGTGTCTCTTGATATAGCTTTTTTTAAAACAATTCTCCGGGAATTTTAAATTAAACACAAATTATATATATAATTTGTGTTTAATTTGTTTTGATAGCAAAACTGTGCCGCTTTTTTTGGAAAAATATGTAAACTCAATTCTGAATTTAATTTTATCATTTTTTCGCCATTCAATTATTTCTTGATAAAAAATAGAAATCAATGTAAATGCGCTATTAAAGAAAGATTCAAGTTTACTAACTACTTTCTAATACTAAGTACTTTCTAATATAATTCTATTATAATATATTTCCAAGATAAAGTCTAAAAATCTCTGCTTTCCTCACAAACATTTTGGCTATCAAAATTATGAGTTGGGTTCAATTTCAAGTTAACGCGATCTCAAATAAAAAGAAATTCAAACTCCCTTCTCTTCTCTTGCTCTCTTATAATTCGATGCTTTTCTCTAGTAAAGAACATTCTTCTCGGTAGAGGTGTCATTTTGCAATCGTCTGCAGCGACGTCACGCGACCTTGACTTCGCTTCGTTTCAGAGTCTAGGTCTAGGACTCGAAACGTCGGCCGTTGCATCCGACACCGCCACTGCAGTTGACCCGCGATCGAGATAGCGGCAAAGAGCGACAAAAGAAGTGAGTGGGAGCAAAACGAGGAAAACGATTCGAGAGAGCTGGACGAGAGACAGAGAAGGCGAGATCGAGAAAATGACCCCCACTCGCGAGAACGAGGACATAGAGGGGCGCTCGTATAAAGACTATGCTTACAGCCCTGTACCAGTGAGTTCCTCTTCGGCGGTGTTTGATACTACCACCCCTGCTAAAGAATCTGTGGAGACCAACGTACAACGCGTCGTTATCAATCACTACCCCGCAGACATGACGGAAAAAGGTTCCAAGCTCGTCCAGTTTCTAGCCGCTGCGGCGGGTAAGTCTATCCTTCATATTATATATAATAAATAACTAAATTCCTGAGAATAAGTGCGGATTAACTTATCAAGTACCAAAGCACTATTTTTTTGGACGATCTTGAGTTTTTTTATATATTTTTTTAAAGCAAAAAAATGCTGCGATTGAAAAGAATTTTTAAAAATTATTTTACGTACGGGACTGGTATCTGCGATTGATTTTTTAAAACAACACTACGCTATTTTCATCGATAGAAATGGACCGTTTGCAAAATTTTGTAAAACTATATCGCAAGTGAACTTTCTTCCTCTGTTTATTCAATTATGGTAATTAATTAATCGTAATATTTTCTAAATTAAATATATACAACAATTTCTATTTATCATGATTTTTATAGATGATTCGTAGTCGTGGTAGGACGAATAATCGTTTTCGAGTTATACGCAATCCGATCGATCGACCGGACAGTTGTGAGAGTGTTTTTCATGCAGGCTTTTCGCCTGTGGCATTTCATTCATTTTGTACATTTTCTGTATTTCAAACAAAATAAATACCGAGAAATATAAAATTGTTGAAAACCGTCAAAGTATCATATATTTGTAGAGTATCATGTAGTATTAAATTCAACTTTTTAACACAAGCTTATTTTAAATCCTTTCGAGAATTAGATTATGCATCCTTTGGTGTGACATAGTGCACGGTTTAACGAACAGATTGGATAATGGGACAATAGATCACTTACTCTTTTGATACGAATGACATTAATTGACGAAAATGAAGAGGCACAATATCCGTTTATCACCGGCTATCACACCACGTGTACAGCACGCTGCAACTGTATTTTGCACATGTGTGCATCGCGATCGTCGATATTCGCCAAAATCTAAACTATTCTAGCTTGTATACATATAAATGCCGCATAAAACATATTTCGAATTTAAAAAAAATTTTTTTCTGACTACGCTGTTCGCTCTAGCGATTAATTTAATAGCATAAATAATAACAAAACATTCGATAATATAGCATTATCGTATTAAACAAATTTAACATTAATTGTATTTACATTAAATGTGCTGTATAATAAAGCGTAATGGTCTTTATGAAACTTCAATGAATAATATTGTGTTGACGATGACAATGAAAATATTAAGCCAGATGAATACGTGCAGTAATTCGAATTGCATTCGAATGCAAATATTATCGTAACACCAAAGCCTCTGGCACATTTATCACATATATATTTCATTGCTAATTGTACAATTCTCACTGATGTAGAATATTCATATTCAACAAATGAGACATAATAATCACAAATTTTTCATTAAATGTAACGTTTTATTAAACAGAAACAAATTGAGCAAAATAATTTATTTTCGCTATTTATTATTATTTAAGATTTAATCTAAGAAAGATAAATAATAAAAATATTATAAATTTTTTATTGCAATATCTTTGACAATTTACGGAAATAATTTTTTATGCTTAAACAAGAAGAATCACAAAGAGATTCAGGTTAGCGAAAGAAAAAATATTCTATTCAATTTGCAAAAAGGTCACGCGATGAAAACATTATTCAAATTACTCGGTTCGGTAATTCCCAGTCGATCGAGACAAGATTAGCAGGAACTTTAAGGTATTAGCATCGAGAATATGCAGAAGCATCGCATTGAGAGATAAACGGAGGACGATGACTACGGGTTGCATGCTATGATTCATGTCCATCGGGGAGTCCTTCGTGTACTCGGATGACGGGAATATTAAACGATTTGCATCCGGTGCTCGACCGAATTCAATCTTAACCGACAAAGATCGCAATCGGCTTAAACTACTTCCTCATTACCGGTACGGCCTGCAGCCGAACGAACGAGACCCCAAAGTGAGAATCCAAATCGGACGAACGCTTCCCTCACTGGGAATAAATCAGTTCAATTCATAATGAGACTTGCGAGTCGTTCGATTGTGCGATAATGATCGTCGATCGGTTTGAAAGAAACTTGATTTCCCATGGAAATCGGCATTCCATTCCTTAACAATGTGATTCTTGCTAAAACCGGAGATTGTAGAAACAAGTGAAATCAGTATAATTCCTCGTGGTATCATTAAGTCACATTCAGATTTTTTTCCCCTGCAATTAAATTGCTTTCGAGAAATCACGCGGAATTATTGAAATTCTTGCACGCGATGGCAGCACGCTCGTAATTAAGAATTCAGATTAGTTCAGATTAGATAATTCTGCGCTTTGCGAAAGATCAAGATATACGAGTGTAGTGTAGCGAGAACAGGAATGGAAAACGGATGCTCTAATTATTTATTTATAGAGAAACTAACGAATTGTTTCTCTATTTATTATTAATATGAGGAAGACTATCAATATTCCTAACGTCGATTTGTCCTCGTGACGACAAAGTTTCCGTGACAAAAGACCAAGTACTTCATGGCCGTGTTATATTCTAGAATATATATATGTTGGGCGTCACGATATTGTATTACAATCTGTCAACATAGCGAATGAGCACCTGATCATGCGCAACGTAATGCATTTATTACGTACGAGATTTTCCATTATTAGAATTTTCTGCATTGATGACTTCATAATTTAGAAATTCGTTAATCTCTACTCTCGAATTCAAGGTAACTGATTGTAAGGTTGTAAGAAAGAATTTTAATTAGTGTACTTTGATTTTGAAGTCTTAAAGAAATATAAAACACGTCATGATGTGAGACTCATTATCAGTATTACGTGTGGTCATTTTAAAAACTCAAATATTGCAATCTTGTTTATTAAGCTGTAAACCTGAAACATTTTGTTGATAAAATATAGCCTCGAAATTAACTGGAATTAACTGGAATTAATTTAAGAAAACATAATTTTATTATCAATTAATTATTATCAAATTTTATTATCAATCTAATTAGTGGATATATCAGATTAAAATCTCTTAATCTACATCGTTAAACACATTCAAGGAAAGTCTTTTGTCACGGGGAAACTTTCATATAAATATGAATTATAAAATACCGTATTCGATATTTATCAAAAGATTTTTATATTTATAAACAAGAAAATTTAATGTTTGCTTATTTTTCCATATACTTTGAATTATATCTTTTGGTTTAAATTGTTCCTAACTTTTCAGAGTAAAATATTTATCTGATATTTTTATCAGTCTTCGATGGCAAGATTTCATATATAAAAATAATCTTCTACTGTTTAACGACAATTATATTGTATAAAAAATAATATTGTTCTCTTGACATAACTCTTTTCATTAATTGCACAATCGGGATTTTTTCTCGAATATCGCGTTATCTGCAGTTACGCCTCTCGCGCATTTATCGTTAACTATCGATCACGTTATCCTATCACGTTGTCCTCATTTTTAATCGATTACAATTTTACGCACGTGTCGCTGCTTGTCAAATGCAGTTCAATGTTTCGTTGCACAGTCGTTAATGTTTGTCAACTATATTGTGGCGCAGCGTCAATGCGAATGATTTTGCAAAATAAATGACGTCAAAAATATTTATAAATATGCATTTAAATATGCGCGATAATGGCGAGCCTCTTTTCGTGCGTAAATTGGCTAGAGATTCGCGTAATCGTTTGACGTCATGCACATTATTAATATTATTTGTCAAGCGATTCGCGTTGTCGTCTGTTGTGGCATTCAGTGTCGGAGAATGAAAGTTTGCACTTCTCGTATCGGGAAATAGCTATATATTCTGTTGACCATAATCTACATTGCTCTATCACGATGATAAAAGCAGTTTTTATAACTGCACTTTTCTCGATTGTTGGCGTGATTGATGATCCCCCTGCGATATTATTTCACCGCGGCCAAGATAGTAATATCCTCGTAACGTTCACGTGTTACATATATGCATGTATATGTACATCGTGCACATAAGAGCTTAGCTATTGCATCCGTAAATCGGATGCAATAGCTAAGCGAGATAGCATATATTTAAAACAGAATATAATTTATCATCAGAAAGAAACTAAAAATTATCAATAATCTAAAAGTTATAAATAAAACTTGAAAAAAAAAATTGCTAAATAAAATTTGGGCAGCAAATTAAATGCATTAAATCGTTTAGGACAGCAGAAAAATTATCTTTGCAAATAAATTTTGAAATTATTTTTAATTTCGAATGCCAGCATTTGACTATTATTTTCTAATTTGTAACGCAAGGTGTAGTATTTTGCAAGCAAAGTTAATTGCGCTTTATTTCTTATCGTCTTTATCATTCTCTCACACGAATCACTTCGTCGTCCATCCTGTAGTTACTGTCCCGCGATAATTCGGCGCGTGTTGCATTGTGCGTGTGAACGCGGCGTAACAAAGAAACATATTATCACGTATAATTCGTGATGAAAGAATACAAATATAATTACAACTTAAATAAACCGATAAATAAAAACTAATATTAAGACGAATTATTCTATCAATGTGTCATCGTCGTCATCTGACTTTGATGCAGCATCATCAATTATGCTATCTCGCCTAGGGGCAAAACAGCATCGCTCATAGCAATCTGAGTGACACGCCTTCTACGTTATCGACATTTTTATTTTGGAAATATTGTGAGATGCGTCGGTTCATTTTAAATATAGTTTTTAATCCATAGAGAAAAAAACCTGTCGCAAAAATGATTGCTTAATGGGCTTGCTTAATGTCTTTAACTCAAAAATATATCAATAAAATGTATATTTATTGATATTTATAATGTAATAATTATAACAATTCTGTGACGTGCGATAAAATTATATTTATTATGCAAACAACAAATAGATATGTCGAATTTCTCATTATTTATTAAAAATTTTATCGCGTTGTCACATATTATCGTCAATATCTGCGCTGCAAATTTGGAGAACACAATTATTTATTAAATTAAATTAATCCATTTAATCTAAAATTTTAACACAAATTTTATTATAATTAAGTGATAAAAAAAAATGTCGAGTCATCGTTTGTCAAATGGTGTGATAGATGAAATGATATAAGATTCACAAAAAAATGTTGATTAGTGCAGAAATTTCTTGAGGTCGAAAATGAGATGCCACTAATGACCCTTCGTGTCAAATGACTTTCTTTCTTTTTCATACATCACCTCAGCGTATATCTATATCCGCGATAATCCTTGGCATGGATTTATTGCGTCACGATTGATAATCGCTGTCGCATCAGGCCACTCGCGGTCAATCAAAAAGAGGAGTTTTGTTGAACGCAGTGGATTTACTAACGCGACAGAGACACGACAGATCGGACGAAAAGAGGTCAAAAGGAAACGTAGAGGTGATAGTCCCACGCGATGATAATGATTAGAGTTCACGAATAAAAGTTTTATTTATCTTGTATTTTTGTTTCGCGTATCAGGGTTGACCTATCCATACATAAATAATTAATTGTGCATTCGTTTTAAATTAGAATTGCGCGATTTCATGCTAGACCATTTGAGAAAAGTCGCGAACTTAATGCTGATTTCAGATAATTTTATTTCTCGGAATATTTTAATATTGATACGACTATTGCTTGACATTAAGCAAATTGTTATCGACACAAATTTCGCTTGCACAACACGATATCTCCATGACGTCTTTTTCTGCAATTTTTCTTGCAATTTAGCGCATTGTTATTGATTGATTAAATTCGCTATAGCTAGTCTCAAAAATTTTTCGTTTAAATAATAGGGTATTCATTACATACGCGCATATTTATGGAAATAAAATGGAAATCTCAAACAGTTTCCAATAATGAAAGTAACATCAATGCAATTCAAACCGAGCTACTTTCTGCGCGATCAGTTCGATTGTCGCCGAACGGTTGCACGTTGTTTTTTATTTCAGAGAAACATGCAAGTAGAATTCTGTCCACGTGATTAATGATAATTTCAAGATTATGATAGTATTAGCAAGATTGCATCTTTACAATGTCACATGTGGATGCCTTTTCTGTGATAAGTTATCGTCTGTTAAATAATATAACGCGCAATCAGCGGCGCGACCGCACGATGCATCGGAGATTATGTAAACGTGACAATTCCGAGATGTAAATTATCGCGTATAATAACCGTCTTGCACCGTTTTTTTTTTTTTTTTCACAGTGTTATTCTGCACGTGTTATTTGTAGCAGGCTGACAAATAAACAGAGATATTTCATTCGATATTTACACGTATGGGCGCTTCGAGGCACAACGCATTTTTTTTTTATTTGTAGTATACAATATAAAGTTAAATGCCATTTAATAAAAGTATAACATTGTCAGATAACAATGTATTAAATTAAAAGTTTTTGTAAAATATAAATTATTTAAATATTTTTTATTTCATTATAATTTAGAATTTAGTGCTGAAATTTGCGAACATGAAAGAGATTAATTTACGAAAATGTTAAAAGACTAAACGTTTATTGACTTACGTTTAATTCATTTATAAAAGCTTGCTGTTGGATATTGTTACTGTCGCGATTTAAATCCCTATTTTGAAAGCTTTAAATATGCACTGATCGTTGCTCTGTGAAACCGGAAGCGCCGCGAGCCTTGAATTTCACTGTGTATATTGCCTGCAACACGCAATTATGTAAAATCGTTTTATCGCCGGAAAAGCCTTCAAAGCACACTTTGACTCGCATTTCGTCAGCGAAGCATTGCCGACAGATTATCCCGGCCACTAACATAATTGAATTGCTAATCTCGAGATGAAAACACTTTCGAAAAGTCAATTTCTCGAGGGCGACAAAAAATGTAATTCAATGAGATTCTTCCAAAATAAACTCTCCCCTAAAGTAAAAGCATTTCTTTGTTAACAAAATAAAATCCCAAGTCTCGATAATTGAATATTTAAACGACCTGTCATTTAAGTTCCTCTAAAAGTAAAAAAGTAAAGAACACGATAAAAAACATGTTGTGAAAGTTAATTTGTTGTTAGCAATAAAAATAATGTGTTTATATAACAAAGCTTCCCACGTTAAAACTTTCTCTCTCTCTAGTTTTTTACATAATTATAATAAAAAGTATAAATATTTTGTAGTCTAAACCTACCTATTTTATTCTCTCTCATTCGTAAGTTTTATAAATAAAAAGAAAACAAAGGATTACTTTCCACAAAGTTATAAATATAAATATCTCAACTAAGCAACGAGTGTTAGAATCACTGATATACACGATAGCATACGTACGAGCAAGTATCTATAATCCTAGCTTATCTTGGCTTGTTTACCAACGGCTTAACATAAGTTCGCACTTAAGGATGAATTAATGGATCTTTTATCAAATCCTATCAGTGATAAAATAATGAGTGCCAGTAGATATAGGCTTTAGATACAAAAGCTGTGGATCAAAAGCTTTCAACCAACGTAATAAATTGTTAAATGTCAGGGGTTGATAATAGTGCAAGAAGTATTTGAATATTACGGTGATTGTAACGATATTTTTGTTTAGACATAGAAAATTTATCGTAAAATTTTATATGATTGCAGCTAATTTATCTATCCTCGCGACTGGTGCCATGTTAGGATGGACAAGTCCAATGCTCCCTCTCTTAGAATCGACCGGTGGACCCTTGGAATCACCGATCAGTTCCGAACAGAGTTCCTGGATAGGATCTCTGGTGCCTCTCGGTACGATCGGGGGCAGTTTTATAGGGGGATTTCTCGGAGAACGGTATGAACTTTACAGATGAATTATTCAATCGCAATAATTTCCGAATTATTTATAATTTTTAACTCTACTTTTAACTAAGAAAAGAATAATTCGTTGTAAAGAGAGATGCGTGCGTATTAATCAAATATTTAACGAGAATACAAATATTTATCATTCACGTGTTTGCAGGTGGGGCCGTAAACCGACATTGCTGTCTTGTCTGCTGCCGTATTTAATTGGATGGATATTGATCGGTACTGCCGGTCATGTTGCTCAGCTTTACGTTGCTCGATTAATACTTGGAGTCGCTCTGGGCTTTGCATTCACGATCGTACCAATGTATTGCGGTGAAATTGCTGAGGTAAATTAATTCTTTTTCTTTTGTTTCTATAGGATTATCCTTTATTTTCATATAGGATTTTCACTGAATTGTCGCATTCTCTTCTATTTCCTTATTTAAAAAAAAGAGCATAATTGGCGTTTAATCGAGATCTAAAACAATCTTTATAAATTTTCGCTGTCAAATTATCTCGCTCGCAATGCTTCTTTAGCTGGATTGTCGAAAATTTTTATTCTTGTTATCAAAACCTGGATTTTACTTCAGAATAAAATTAGTATTCTACGTTCTTCTGCTGTTCGTTATTCAGTAAAAAGATATTTTTTATTTTTTTAGACTTCTATCAGAGGAGCACTGGGATCCTTCCTCCAACTTTTTATCACGATTGGCTTGCTGTATGCTTATGCTATCGGACCCTTCGTCACCTATACTGTCTTTTGGATCGTTTGTGCTATTCTGCCGATAATCTTTTTCGCTTGCTTCATTATGATGCCGGAGTCTCCGTATTTCCTCCTTATCAAGGGACGCAAAAACGAAGCGATCACGTCTCTCGCGAAGCTGCGAAGCAAATCGGAACTGGCTGTGCAGAAAGAAGCCGACGAAATACAGGTGAGTAATTAGTTGATAACAATTTTTTTGAAGATTTTTGAGATCTTGAAAAATCAGTTTCAGTAAGTTGATCTCCTATTAATTAAGAACTTACAACAAATTAAACTGAACATATATTATTCAAAAATTTATAAAGGATGCGATTTTACCATAAATTTTTAATATAAATTATTCTAACAAAAGTTATTCATTCGATTCACGAAAGTTATTCTACGGCTTCGTCAAGTAGATTTCTCGTCGCAACACTCGAGTGACAAGGTAATCGCTAAATGTTACGAGCACGTGCTCGATCGTTGTTGAACGCATGTCCGAGTACATTGTACCGTCAGGTCACGTTAGGCGAACGAGGTCGCGATTAAGGCCGTTCTTTGATCCTAAACGATAGTATCGCACAGTAGCAAAGGACAGTTATGACCGACATGCAAACGATATTCCTCTTCCTGCAATGCGAAGTCTCTCGCGGAACTGACCGAGTATTTTTTCAGTCGCACGCGGAACAAAGAAAAACAGCTGTTCTTTCAATGTCGAAGCATTTGATATTGCAAAGTTATTTAACTTTAACGACTTGAGAATTCCGCGTAATTAAAACTCGTAAAATGAATAAGCGTAAAATGAATAATAGAACTTTGTTTTTGTTTTTATGTTATTAATTAGATTTCAATTTTCTCTTGACGACGTTTTTTAATCTTCTAAATATCTCGTTGCTTTCAAATATTTTGCGTAAATGATTAAAGTCTAACTTTTATGTCCGTTATTCAATCATTTATTTGTGATTTTGCTTTCAGGAACAAATCGATGAACTTTTCAAAGAAGAAGTTAAGTTCTCGGACTTGTTTACGGTGAAGGCCAACTTCAAGGCTTTACTCTTCACTTGTGCTTTGGCTTCCTTCCAACAGTTCACTGGTATCAATGTTGTGCTATTCTATATGCAAAATATCTTCATTGCTGCCGAAAGTTCTGTTCCAACAGAACAAGCGCCTATTATTATCGGTGCTGTGCAAATGCTAGCGTCGGGTGCTACGCCTATTGTCGTCGATTGGTTAGGCAGGAGAGTGCTTCTCGTCTTTTCCGGCATTGGAACAACACTCAGTTTGGTAAGCAGTTTCCCCTGTTTTCAGATTCAATCTTAAAATATCATTTTTCTCTCTTCACAAATCCTGAGATGTATTTTCGAGCCGTGTCACAAAATCACAATGTAATTTGGAAGATATAAAAATTCCAAGTCTCTCTTTACCTTCAATGATTGACTAATTCATAAAGTTTTTTCTCTCACAGCTGTGTTTAAAAATATTGTTTCATTGATAGAAATAATTCGTAGTGGAAATCAATTGTAACAACATTAAAGTTCAGACTGTCGTTTTAGAAACGAGCTCAATGATATCATTTTAAAGAAACAGTAAGAAAAACGAATATATTCTTGTCTTATCTTTATGTTTCTAAAAACGAGTTGCAATGATCCATAAAATTATAAACCGTAAAGTTATTATTGAATCAGTAAATATAATTTACTGCGTTTAATACATAATAGTTATATAGGACTTTAACGCGGAAATGTATCAAACTAGTATTTAATACTAGTACGTAAAACTTTCATGAAGTTTCTTGTGCTACTCTCTCTTGTCTCGCTTGATAAACAATGGATCGGTTCAGAAATTTACATGAAAAGTGTGTTCAAGATTAGCGTATTCATGAGAGAATAGACGCAATGCAGTTTCACGTTTGCAAAGTTTGCTTGTTGTTTTATGGAACGACTTGTAATTTTACCGCTTTGCGACAGACTTGAGCAATTCGTTAGAGTGGACACGCATTGCTCTTCGTTAAAATTAAAAGCTCCCAGAAGAATTTAAATTAAAATCATAAAAGCGCAAAACTTTAGCTTTTTTTCAAGACGTGTGATTATTTTTTCAGAATGCGTTTAATCAACGACTGCAAAACGCATTTAAATATTGCATACAGATCTAATATTCCAGCATGAAATCGTTGTTATTTCATGATGCGACTTATTTATTTTTGTAATTTTGAAGTAAAATAATTTAAAATAAATAAAAAGGAAAAAATTTACGATTTCATATTTCCGGTTGTTCAAAGTTACGTTTCATAAATATCTTTTAAGATTGCTAACGGAATTTCGAAGACAATTACCGGAAATTATTGCATAGCAATTTATTTTTATGCTTCAATCTTATATCGCACGCATCCGATCATTAAACGCATTCCGAAGTTGTGTGTTCACGATCGAGGTGCATAATTGCGCCTACTGTTATACAAGTAAGCAATTTAATAACTCTTACTTTTATCACACATCTGTCGAGGACAAGACAATGATTTAATTATTCGAGAATCGAGTCGCAGCTCTAAATTGCTTGCATCTTCTGCGAATTGACCAAAGATAAACGCGAGTCTCGAGTTCTCGGAAATGTCCGGTACAGGAAATGCAACAAGTGCATTGCGGGATTCACAAATGCTCTCCAGACAAGGAAGGTCGAACACCATTCTACATTGCCGATGTACATACCGGTACATGCCGGTGGAATGCGGCGATTGTTATTGCATCGGATGCAATTTAGTGAACACAATGCGGGAACTTCCACGCGATCGCGACGTACACGATTACATAAATCGACGCGAATTTGCGGCAGAGAGCACACGTGTTCGCGATAAACGTAACTGATAATTCAAAACCAATTTCGGACAATGCTGTTCCCCTAAAATGAGTCTCTTTAAAAGACAATTTTGGCCCTTTGAAACTTTTTGTAATTCGAAATTTTTATGATCATATAAAATCATCTCAGATTAAAATTTTTATATCGAGCATTATGCAATCTTCTGAGCTTCCAACACGTTTGTCACCAAAAATTTCATAATTTTCGGATTTTTATAATCGTATGTTTGTGTTACAGTGTGCCCTAGGCTTGTATTTCTATCTGAAGGATGTGCAGCACGCAGACGACGTAGTGGCGCAGATATCCTGGCTACCGGTAGTCGCGCTCGTCATCTTTATCGCTACTTACAGCGTGGGCTGGGGCCCGCTCCCGTGGGCCGTCATGGGCGAAATGTTCTCCTCGAATGTCAAGGCTAAGGCTTCCGGTATAACAGTTTCAATCTGTTGGTTTCTGGCCTTCCTTATCACCAAGTTCTCCAGTAATATGGATGAAGCGATCGGTCAATACGCGACATTCTGGATGTTTGCAGGATTCTGTGTACTTAGCATCATCTTCACGGTACTTATACTGCCGGAAACGAAAGGCAAGAGCCTTCAGCAAATACAAGCTGAGCTCAACGGAAAGCCTTTTCACACTTCAGATATCGAGAACGGAACGAAGAAGTAAAAATAGAGCATTCGCGATCGATCCCATTGACGAATGGTGTATGCAAAACACCTGATAAATTGATATCTTAAAAAGAGTTAATATTTCTTAACATCGTAACATTGTAACATTTTTAATCCTTAGGACGCGTCTAGAAAGACATGTCTAACAGAGATATTTCTTGAAATGGAAAAAAATTGACAGCGCAGAAATGTGCTAACAGGCCTGAGTAACGTTACGTGCCTATCATTTTTTACTGCCAAATTTACGAAGATTTAGATGAAAAGAGAATATTTTTAAGCTTATACATTGCTCATATACGGGAACGATTTTGTTGTTTTCCAAACGGGACCAAGAACTCATCAGCGTCTTCCGAACGCGTTACGCAACACAATGTCAATTGTATATAATAGGAGGAATCATTCCATAATATATTTATAAACGCGCTCGTATTAATAATTCATTGTCCATAAATTTCGTTTTCCGAGCACAAAGGAATTTGTGGTGTGCCAGTAAACGCTGCTTCAAGTGTTTTCAAACAAGTTCCTGTCTGACTCGTGATTAGAGGAGATGTCGTGATGGAGTATATAGTCGTTAATAATAATATTAACTATCCTACTATTATTATTTTATCAAGATTTTTATAGTATTACATTTTGACGTAGCAAAAAATAAAAAAAATAAAAAATTTTGCGACATTTCTGGTTCACGGGTGAGAGACTAGTCATTTTGTATCATTTCTATATTCAGAGAATTTTATGAGTTATTTAAAAAAAATCTTGCTTCGACTATCATTAAAATTAAAAATTAAAAGAAAATTGTTAGAATTGTCAATAAATTGATAAATTTACGTAACATAAAAATATATGAGGCAACTTTGTCATTGTTAATGAATATTAATAACGACAAAGTCATCATTGACATACTTAATTGATTGCAATGAGACGTAACTCTTTCATATATTACATACAAACTATTATATAATTATAAAAAAAAAACAGATAATATTTAAGTATCGTATTACAAATTGACTCACGTTAGTTGTAAGCTATATATAAGTAGTATTTTCATATCATCTTTAATATTATCCTATTTATAAGTAGTATTTTAATACTACTTTTAAATGCACAATGCATTTCTCTTTCTGATATCAAAACATTCTAACATAAGTATATGCTATTTTAAGAAACTTCTTCTCTTCCTATTTAGAATTGCCTCTAAAATAAAATTTGGTACACTTGAATTTCGATAAAAATTATAATTCTAAAAATTAATAGAAATAATCTACTCGATAAACAAGCGCTGGTCGCACATATTGATTAACGAATAAGTGTTTTATAAACATTTTACAGTATATGCGAAAATATTCAATTTCTACGGGAAATGTTAAAATAATCTTTTATGAAGTACGTATGAGCTTTGTTCAAACTATCAACGAATAATAAATGACAATGTCTGTAAGGTTCCTTTTGCTTTTCACATGAAAATACTCGAATTTTATGCGAAAGGCAAATCAATTTCGAAAATGATAGACTTTAATCGACAACGTTGCTTTACTACAAATTGACTGTTGTATATATTATATTTTAATACACAAATATTTGCTGCAGACATACTTTTGTATATAATTATTACGATTATAAAGAAATTATAAATAATTTCAATAATGTGTATATTCATGTTGAAATTTTGTGACAATTACACGTATTGAAAAGACTTCCCTCTCCCGCTTTCCTAAACTGTCAATTTCGCTAATAATTATTTTTTTGAAAATGACATACAAGTCCCGTTCAAATTGGCGACATAAATTTCTTATTTCCCGACATTACTGAAATTTCGATTTGATTGATATTTTAATAAATAATCGTCGCCACACACAAGAGTTTCTGTGAAATAACAAAACAAAAGCCGCGCGCTGCATATGACGGGTAAGAAAATTTATTTGACAGCGTATTAATTAAAGCTTTTCGAGTCGGTAAAATCGTCCAATTCAGTATTATTGAAACGCGGTAAAACGTTTAATAAATACGGTAAGGAGACACTTAAAAATAATGAATAAACGCGAGTACGATAAAGAAAATATGGTGAGCATATAATACTAACCAAAAAATTTATCAAGAGATAAGGCTAATAAAAAAGATATTACATACAATTAATGTAAATATTTATCTAATTAAAACTGAATTGAATACTAATGTTATTGACATTTTATATTCTTTATACAGAATGAAGAAGACAAGAGATTGGAAGAAGAGTTGCTACAAGCAGTTGATATATTAAAAGTAATTAAATATTAATAATTTTATCGATTAATATTGATTAATATTGATAATTGATAAATATTAATTATTTTATACATTAAATATTGATAAATAGATAATTCTAAAATTTATTAATTTTAATTTTCGATAATTAAAAAAACCACTTTTTTAAAATTAAATTTGCACGCCGCCATAAAAAAGTTTTCCTATCAGGATAAAGATGAGACAGCCATGATGCTGTCTTTGAACCACTTAAGGATGCTGATACGCACATCTACAACTTCAATGACTTCTGTTCCGAAACCTCTCAAATACTTGAAAAATTTTTATCCGAGTTTGAAGAATGCATACAGAAAACTCAAGCAAAAGGAGGTAAAGACTCGTTTTGCAGAAATTCTGAGTGTGCTCTCTCTAGCCGGAGCCACTGCAGGATCCAGGGAATGCCTGGATTTCTGTATTAAAGGAGCTGTCGATAATCCCGGAGAATGGGGGCATGAATACGTGAGACAACTAGAAGCAGAGATCGTCGACGAATGGACAAATGTACCAATAAAAGAGGAACAAGAGATCAGGTAAAATACAATATGTTATTTAGAAAAAGAAGTAAAAATTTCATAATGAGTTAATCATTTAAGAATTTAGATAACTTTTCAATTTACGTATTTTTTGTACGCAGTCGTATGATTCAGTAAAGAAAAGTCTCAGACGATGAGACATTGCGGTATTTTTCGCTCAACAATCAATATTGCTATCTATCTCGATTTTTGAGTTTAAATTTAGCCACATCCGTTTTTCGATATTGCTATTTGTTGTATGTCCATGTTACATCCACAAATGGACTTACAGTGGATTTATAGTTTTTTTTCGGATATATATTTGATACAGATATATTTCCGCAGATTCACTGCCTTAATAAAATAAAAATAAAAATAATTTGGGACTCACCGATGTACGATGCGCAGCAGCGGAGTTGTAGTTCTCATGTTGACCTGTAAAACACAAAAATACCACATTACAACGGCGCTCAAAATAATTATTATTTAAAAAATACTAAATAATTAAATTATTTTATTAATTAATAAAACTCTTTACTTGTTTTTCGAACAGACATTTAAGAATTTATAGAATTACGTAACTTTAATAAATAAACTAAATAATAAGTAATAAATAAATATATAATAAATTTTGCTCACCTCATGGTTGCCCCGCCGTCGCCTGACGCCTCCTAGGCCTCCTCCTCCTCTCAGTAATCCATCAGCGGTCGCTCCTTCATGGCACTCACTCACTCACTCACTCGCGAAAATACGCGATTCATTCACTCACGACACTCGCTCATAAAAATACAACTGCATATTAATTACGTTCGCGTGCGTATTAATAATACGAATATCGCACGGTACTTTGAACGACACTCCCGCACTCCCGCGCGTTGTATTATATTACGAAAATATAACAAAACGAATATGATGATTCACGGTACAAAAGTTCGGGTACGTTAGCTTCCCCTTCAGGATAAACCATCCGGGTACTGAGCCCTCCCACCACGACAAGGTGTACCCATGGGAGAGAATTAATTCGTTTTGCTATATTGCAAAGAAGAAATAATAGACGAATGTTAATAAAATGGGTTAATATACAGTTAATAACATGTTATACGTAGCAAAAAACAAAAACACGTCTCGCGCTAGTCGATTTATTCCTCTGTTGTGAAAAATGTAATAATACAATAGAGAATATCATTTCAATTTTTTATTGCAACAATTCTTACTGCAAATGAATAAATCACGAAATATTTATTTCCAGAAATTGTTATTGCGGGCGACGGCGGAGAGAAATGGGAAATTGCGTACCAATTTTGTCATCCGCCGCAGCTATGCTACGGCTGAACTACTTTTGCACGTTTTCCGTATTTTCGTTCCATGAAAATAGTATATTTACATTTTAGGATGTTTTCATGTCACCTCGATTTTTTTATTCAAGTGAAAAGTCTCGTGAAGCGCCTGTTTCAATAGATAGCCATGTTCTGTTTATTTATCGTTATACCGATTTGTCATCTAGGACAGTGATTAATTCTGTTCGATTGAAAGCGGATTTGAATCCAATAGAAATTATTATCTAAATTTCAATTTGAGAAATATGCCACTATTTGATTGATGTGGAATTAATATACAAACAATCGATGAGCTTATTATATACTGTGCATTTTACGTGAAAAGTGATATGCGCAAATCCGCAAACGAGCGTAAGATAATCTATTTGTTTAAAAAAATGTTTTATTATTACTTATAATAATTAATTGTATTTATTTCTATTCTTATTATTAATTGTATTATATTGCGTTAGTTTTATTCAAATCTTTTTAATCTACCTATTGATATTTATCGATAACAAAGCATTTGCATTCATTTCAGAGTTAGAACTGTATTGCAGTAATGACTATTATATAATTAAAGCCGTATACATGGCGTATTCCTGATTCGCAATTTGTAAATGTAGCACGTGCATTAAATGGTAATATTGAAAATTGGATATTCCAACTTTAAAATATGGATGTAGTAGTGCTGATCAAGACTCGATAAGCATCTCACGAAATACATCGAGATAACCGCTTTTACAGCATCTCTTTGCTTCTATTGAAAATAAGAGATAACGAGAATATAATAATAGTTATTTTCGTAATAGAAAGCGGCTTACCCCGTTGATTAAAAGCATCATCTCATTCGACATGAAACACAACGCGGAGATACAAGCGTGTGATCTGTGCTTGGAGATCGACGAGCTAAATTTTCTCGCGGAACATTTGGATTCCACAAACTTTACACGGGTGTGCCATTATCTAATTAGCTGTGCGGCTTACAGGTGACGCAACTGTAACAAATACTAGTATACAACGTTATTGTAATTAAATGCATATATCTGTTTTACTCATTAAATAAATTAATTTTTTAAATATAAATTAGGCTGTAATATGTCGAGCACAAAAAGTCTGTAAATAAGATTTAATAGCGTAATTTGCAATTTTCTATAACATGAATATACCTATTTTACATATTCTTCAGCGAGGACACGGAGAGAAAACAAATATTAGAATTTGCCACGGAGCAATATCTGAAGTTTAACGAGTACACGAGGGCAATTTTGGTGGCACTGCAGCTTGCAAATTCGGAACTTGTTTTCAAGTGCTTCACTGCTTGTTCTGACTCGTTGATGAGAAATCAATTAGCCTTTATCCTCGCTCGGTTGCAAGTAATTCATTGCATAACATCTGTATTTAATAAATTTACAATATCAAAGAGCTTTCTGATTTTCAAGATTCGCAATTTTACAAAATAAACCAACGATAAATTATTATTCTGTCGACGCTGTGAAAATAGAATATTTAATAATCAACGCTTTAAATATAGGATCAACCTTTGAGGATGGATTATCACGGGAACGATGCCAAGGATATCGAGACGATCCTCAGCAACGGCCACATAAATACGCATTTTCAAATCCTTGCCAGAGAACTTGACATACTCGAGCCGAAGCTTCCGGAGGATATTTATAAAAGTTGGTTGATGAACGCACCTAGACAAATGGAGCACGATTCTGCGAGAGCAAATTTGGCTGCGAGCTTTGTTTCCGGTTTCGTACATGCCGGTTTTGGTCAAGATAAATTAATGGCAGACACGTCCGACTGTTGGGTGTATAAAAACAAGGTTCAATTTTTTTTAATAGCCAATAACAAATCTTATTCAGCGCTGTAATAAAATTTTGAAAATTACAAGTTAAATGAGTAATTACTAATTTAACATTTTTTACATTGTTTGTGATAAGAGATTAAATAAATGATTATTTTTCGTATTTTCACATTTCTGAATTAACTTTATAAAATCGAAAAAAGTGAAATATGTGATAAAATATTCGATATTCGACAGACATGTAATTCACATATAATCGAAAATTGAAAATCATTTATCAGTTAATAGTTGCTTAAAAATCAATATAAATAAAAAATTATTTAAATATTTGAAAAGCCGTTCTTTTTTTTAGGACCATGGAATGTTATCGGCTACTGCTTCTCTCGGTTTAATACACATGTGGGACGTCGACGGCGGTTTGGTTCCCATCGACAAGTTAGTATTTAAATTTGAAGTAGCAGGAAATAAAATATTTAGAAATCCTACTTTTTGCGAACGGTTGCTTTAAGAGGAGAAAGTAATTATTAATAGACTGAAAAACATTTATCTTAAAATAATGTTCATAGAATCATTATAGAATCATCGGCAGTCGCTGCAACAAATTTTAATTCTAATTTTCAATTATAATAACAACTGTGTTAAAAATAAGTATACGCTTTTAAAAATCAAAGTTTCGTATATTTCTGTTTGTTTTTTGTTCTCTACAAACTTACCTGTCCTTATCCGTGTCCTTAATCCTTGCTCATTGGTTATTGATGATTCGTTTCCCGATATCCACGTAGATATCTCTATACGAGCGAAGACTACGTAAAATCCGGCGCTTTGCTAGCCATCGGACTGGTGAATTGCGGAATTCGTAACGAATGCGATCCGGCTTTGGCGCTTCTCAGCGAGTACGTGAGTTCGAGCAGCCAAACTCTTCGCATCGGAGCCGTCTTGGGATTAGGTTTGGCTTATGCTGGTTCCAGAAGAAAGGACGTTACCGAACTTCTTTCTGGGACTTTGACCGATGAGAAAAGTAAGATGAACGACTTTCATTTTTGACTCCAATTTGTTCTGTTTTCTAAGCAAGAAAATTTGATTTGTTTTTTTAATAATTACAAACTAAAAAAAATAATGTTTTAACTGCTTTTAGATTGTACAATATTTTGCGTCAAATATATTGTGTGTAATTTGGATTAAAATTTTTAAGTCGAAAAGAAAATAATTGCCATTATAAATATTTTCAGATAATATGCAAATCTTGTCGCTCGCTGCTATCTCTTTGGGACTTGTGAATGTAGGCTCGGGAGACTCCGATGTAGCTTCGATTATTTTGTTGAGATTATTAGGATTGTCTATGAAGGAACTGATTGTTACGCATTCCAGGTATCATATAATAATGTTCCATCATAAACAAATATAAAAAAATAATTTTTATATTAAAGACAAAATAACTTTTTTCAGATTCTTGCCGTTAGCTCTGGGAATGGTTTATATGGGAACCCGAGATGCTATAGAAGCACCATCCGCGGCACTTGAAGCTCTACCGGAACCCTACAACTTCGCTTCGCAAACTATGCTACAAGTAAAATATTTTATTATTCCGCAATCTAATAAAAGTCCTGAATTAGATTTGCGCGTACGCAGGCACCGGCGACGTGTTGATAGTGCAAGAATTACTGCGAATCTGTTCGGAAGTGATCGAGGGAGTGACTAGTGCGAAAGCCACACCCGACAGTACCCCGACATCGAGTTGCTGCGATCAAAGAAAATCGCAAAACAGCTCTTTTATGTCGGAAAACGATAAGAAGAACGGTACTCAGGCCGAGGAATCTACTAAGTAAGTATTTTGCAAAACTGTCATTAAAACATAAAAAAATGAAAAATATTAATTATATTATTGTCAAGTGTAAAAGAGATTAAATGTATATCTAACAAATATTTCTAGCGTTATTCATAGCTGTTAAACATAATATATAAAACGCATGTTATACAAAATCACCATACAGAAATTGAAGGAAAAAAATGTAAAAGGAATATACATACTTTATAACAATTCCTCTTCAAAGGCATAATTAATAATTTAATAATTAATACCAGGGACGCTGGAGCATCGCAGGCTATAGCATCTCTCGGAGTGGGAGTGGTCGGATTAGGCGAAGGAAAAGAAAATTCAAGGATCTTCGGGCAGGTAAGAAGATAAACCTCCGTAAGTCCTCGATGAGCTTTAATAAATATTCACAGGAACGCTTCTACAATTGAAAAAAAAGACAAAAAAATAGTTAAACAGCAATTCATACAATTAATTAATGTTTATGGATCCTATAGTTCGCTCATAACTGTCGTCAAATGGCTTCTCTGTCGTTCTACGAGCACTAAACTCACGACGAGACAGAGAATCAGTTGAAGTGCGGTAGACTTTAATTAATATTTATTGCGGGAAACGTTCTCGCGGTCATAGATCTTCACTGTGATTGTGGCCGAATATAGGTCGGAAGGTATGGTCCAACGCCAGCGCGACGCGCTATGCCTCTCGCGATGGCTCTGTCATCCCTATCGAACGCCGACCCGGCGGTCTTGGACGTGTTGAATAAATACAGCCACGACCACGACGCCGACGTTGCTCTCAATGCAATCTTCGCTCTCGGACTTGTCGGCGCGGGCACCAACAATGCACGGTTGGCGACGATGTTGAGACAGCTGGCGGCTTATCATGCAAAAAATCCATTTCATCTGTTCCTCGTGCGCATCTCTCAAGGCTTGGTGCACTTGGGCAAGGTGAATCTCGATAAAAATAATTGTGGACTTATAATTATTAAATAATAAGAATTTCTGATAATAAAAATATTAAAAAACAAGATTTTGCATAATATTAAAAAAATTACCTACATTATCATGAAAAAGAATGCAGGATAAAGTTGGGAAAATTCAAGGATGCAATTTTATTCTCCTTTCAGGGTACTTTATCCTTGTCGCCTCTGCGTTACGGTTCAAGAGTTTTAGACTATACCGCCTTGGCTGGTCTGATGGTCGTCTTAGTCGCCTGCTTGGATTGCAGAAATCTTATATTATCGCAATCTCATTATTTAATGTACTGCTTGGCGGTTGCGATGGAACCGAGGTGGCTAATTACTGTGGATGAAAATCTTAAGGTATGCAAATTAACCGATCAATTAATATACAAAGGTTTAAAATGAGCATTTTATCGGTATTTCGCAGAGTTTACCGGTATCCGTGAGAATCGGTCAGGGCGTGGACGTTGTGGGGAAAGCCGGTAATCCGAAATCTATTGTTGGTGGTCACGTACAGACTACGCCGGTGTTGCTGTGTGCGGGCGAAAAAGCGGAATTAGTTTCAGATCAATACGAATCGCTTTTCAGCGTGCTGGAAGGTTTTGTGATCCTTCGTGAGAAAGTAATCCCATAATCTCGCGCGCCGCGTTTCTATCTGTGCGCAATTTTTAACGTTGTGAATTTTTTACAGCAGGCTGTAGTGAATTGAAGAGTTTTAAGAGATTTTTGAATATTCCACGGTGAGTTTCCTCCTCTTGACTTGACCGGATTATCTCTTCTATAAAAATAACAAACAGTCTTAGCAAACTTGTTAAAAATATCTTCTCCTGACAAATCTATGCGAGACAAGTTAGGGAAAGAAAATATCGCGCGCATCGGCTTCGTTTTCGCACATTAGCACATTTTCGCGAAGTAACAGCTGTAATGAAAAGATTTCAGTTAGTTTTTTTCGTATGTTTGCGTTTATTTAACTTTAGGGACTAGCGGAAGCAACGTGCTTTATACAACAGAAACATACATTGGTTCGCATTGCACAGTGGGAATAATAACGTTGCACCATGATCAAAGAATACAAGACACATATAAAATCGGCAAAATTCGAGGATCATTTAGATTGCAATGAAGTTAAAACCAAAGAATATACGCAAAACGCGAGTGAAATGTACTCAGAAGGACAAAGGAAAGGAAGATATTACAACGATATCGATCTTAACAGCGAGATAATGAATTTGCGCGACAGCGATCATGGAGCACGTCAGACTTTCTTTGTGACGAAGCTGTTATCCAAGCAACACAAGGGTTCAAAAGACATCTAAAAGATCGTCGTAAAGGGCCTCTGAAAGATCGGGACGTCTTTCGGACGTGTGTGTCGCCTCGGTAGGAATTGTGAGTGTTACACAAATGTACAGCGAGTGTAGGACGCCTGTAAGACTAACGATTCCTCTCTCTCGCGTGAAACATCCTACGACGTTCGTTTGTAGGCACATGACTTAGGGTAAAAAGGCGAAGTGTGTATAATAAAACGCAGTTGATTCCATAAAACAACGCACGCCGCGTCGACGATAGTACAATATAGTTCGGTGACGTTTAAACGAAACGTACCGTCAACCTTATCGCGCGCACGCGATATCTGAATATGTAATAAACGCATCCTAGGTCTAATAATCGTACACGGTCAGCGTAACAGTCGGAACTTCTCAACTATATGAAAATTCAGCTTTATTCGCTTAGAATAAACCAGCTCTATTCGGTGAAACGCGCGTATTAATCCGGTATCAACTTGCTGCTTGATATATTACTTCGAAACTTTTTTAATTCTGCGCAGGACCTAATTTAAAGGTGAATGATGATCATTGTGGCGCCTATAAAAATTAAAATGTGATTATTGATAAAATTGTCAATTTGTTTCTTTTAAAAATAATACAAAACAACCTTCGAAATATAATAAATTCAAAATGCAATAATAAAAATTCAATTCAGATGCAAATTGCAATAAAATTGTATATTGATTAAAATATAATAAAACATATTTTTCGTGTTAACGATGAAGCCCTCGATGGTTTGATTGCTGGATCCACCACGCCTATAAATTTGGTCCTGATTTCTTTATTTATATGTACTCTAATGTAGAGTGATCGAGTAATCGTAGGAGTCTATCGCAATCCGCACTGCAGAGCGTTTCTTTAGTTAATACATCAAGAATAATGAAAAGGATAGAATAAATGCTGTCACACAGGAATACTGCGCGTAAGCTATTTCATAAAATAATTCTTGCCACAAAGTAAATTAAAACGTGGTAAATCACACAAAAAAAGTCATCCAATTAATCAGCGTACTCGCACCATTCAGCAAGCTGGGCTCACCTACTTATCCTTCATCTTTCACATAGTAAAATATAATAATAATATAATAATAATAGTTAAAAATTAATAATGATAATAGATTCTACATAGTAGCGTTCCTTGCACCATAATCTTGCGCAAGGTTAATATATGTATATGTATGTATGCGATTTAGCGAATACGCAGTTATGTAGTTTGAAACTTCCTAGCTGTTTCCTCGCGCCGCTTTTTGACCTCTTGACAAACTTCTTATTTACAATAGCGAATTGTATTAAGAGTTTTATTTGCAACTTTTTCCTATTTGATTATTTTCTCCTCTATACGTTAACGTCAGCCGTCATTGCGTACTTTATATGTGTGAATAAAACCAAATTACGGTAAGGCTAGAAAAAGAATAATTATATAGATAAACAGATTAGGTTGTAAAATGAAGCTGCCTGTGGATTCGTTGCTGCGAGAAAAAAATTGACGACAATTGGCAGTGCTTCCCTGTCATTACATGTGTTTATCTCTCTGTGTATGTGTGTATATACTATATCTGTATCTGTATGTGCTCCCGTTTTAGAGGACTTCCATTTTGAAAGCATATGCAAGCTGGCAGATGCTCGCAATGGTTGCCGAACACATTTTTTTCTCCGCTATGCATCTACCCACGCAGTAGGAATGTACAGTCTGTACCACAGTAACACAATCATGACACAATGCGGATATAATAAGTAAAATATATAGCAAGAATTAAAATAGCCGGGCACGTCTTTTGATTTCGTTACGACGCCACTGTGGCAATCTGTAGAATTCCGCGCGGGAGCACTGGAGGACAGCTTCGAATTCCGCATCGGAGAGATGTCGCTAAAGAAGAAAAGCGTTCGAATTAATTCGGTATTTCTTACAATTATGCTAATTATTATATCAGTCATTTTTGTTGTGCACAATAAAAAATAATATTGTTGATAATATAATAATTATTTATTATTTTTATAATTGAACGACTAAGCAACGTTTTGCAGTTATTATCTATGTACCTCGAGATTGCAACGATCCACGTCAGCTGGCAGCCTGTAGTTGGTGATAACAAGTAGGTGATAGGGATACAGTTTGGGTGGTTCGGTTGGTGCAGCACCCATGTCCGGCAGTGATCTTCTGACGTGATGACCTCCGTGGCCCCCAACAACCGAACCTAGGCCACCTGTATACGTGGTAGATGATGGAAGGATTCCACCATCATTCTAAACCACGATCACATAAAAATTATGAATCACACTGGCAAAAGTAAACGGCGAAGAAATAGTAAGACAATAAAATTAACGACGCGAGAAAATTGTGAAGGATTGCATGCGACACAAATTCGAATAAAATAAAGATTTATTTTGCCGAATCCGATTTTACAAAGTAAAAAAATTTCTATTATCACGCATCCCTTCAAAATATTCTTGTCGGCGTTTACGAAGAGTAACACATTCTTTACACATTACAAAAATGTTCGTATTCCTGCTGTATAAACTAGTATGATTAATGAACTGATATTTCTTTATGCACGAACGAATGATTGGATTCGTATGACTCAATAGTCTCAATGAACAATAGTGACTTTATTGATATTGATTAATTAATTTTTTACAGATTAACTTGAGATAAATTGAAGCAATCATTCTACGTGCGAACGTTTTAACATTATTTTACCCAATAATTTATACAGTTTTATGACACTTTTACAGATAACGTTGTAAAAGACTTATTAATATTATCATTTTTAAATGCAAATTATGTATATATGTATATTATACATGCATTTCTTGCGGTTAAAAAGTGGTTTCTTGTGTTAAAAAAAATTTCTGTATGTAACGAATACATTTCAAATAAATAATTTAAGTATTAAATGGATATTATTAACAATAACGTGTATTGGATAATCCATTTTTATAAAAAAATGACGTAATCAAATCTCTGACATGATAATGTCAGTTTATTCATTTTTTTTAATTATCTCTGAAATTAGTGAATGGATTATCCAAAGTTATGTAAATAATTTTAAATATCACTGTTTTTCAAAATTAAATTTTTTCGAATGCAAAATACAAAATTACATGTATATGACATATTAAAATATAAAAAGAGAAAAAACACTTTGACCAATAAGGCCAAAAATAGCATAAATTAAAAAAGGCAGATTTTTATAATTTAATACGCAATATTGAGCAAAATATTGAAAATACGTACAAATTATCAAAAATGCAAAACTTAAGATCATAGCACAATATACAGCATGCATGCATACTCATTGTACAGCATCATATGTACAATATATTACATTGCAATATATAAACAAATAGCAAATCATAGATAGTCGTACATATATGTATAAATAATGTGCACATTATTCATATCGTAAATGTGAAACATACACAACTGTATTGTCTTGTTTCTTTAGACGAATGTGTGCACTTAATATGCAACACATCTATAATTATAGAGCCGTGCTTAAAATGTTAAATAAAATTACATTTGCATAAACTCCATTTATTTGAAATAATCAAATCAGGTACCAATAAATATCAATTTTTTTCGCTTTTAAAAAGAAAATTTTGTCCGAGAAAAAAATTATTTGTTCTCCAGACAAAAGTACTTAGCTTTGCTGATCGAAATTCGATTGATAATAAAAAATTAACAAAGTTTCGAAATTTACATTTCCAGAAAGAATTTCTTTTATTAATCCAATTGTTCCGATAAATGGAGTTCTATTGTCATACAGAAGCAAAAACAAGCTACAAACCATGCTAATTCGCCGGGAGTAGTATGGGGCTGTGGTACATACCAATGCCCGTCGATCCACATCCGTGATGCTGCCTGTTGATACTAAAATTGGGGAAAATGTGAAAGAAAACCATATCAAACCATGTTGCACAAACCATTTCCTATGTTAACTACAATTTATCTTTCAATAATGTTCCCCTTCTATCACCTATCTACATATTTTATGATTTATGCATGAGAAATGCATATAGCAATGTAATTAACTACTCAATTAAAAGTAGATAAGGCAACGTGGGAACATAATTGCTTCATAATAATTCAATGATAAGATTATTATAAAATTTTCGTAACTATAAATAAGTTATGGAAATTCTATCAAAGAAGAATGTATCAGCTAATAATTTCGATGCTAATGACCATGTTTCATAATTTTTTCCGCTTTAGATTAAAGAATATAAAATATACTAAAAAATGCAAAACATAATAAATATTCACATTTCAGTAAAAATCGCATTTAGCATTTTCTGAAACAATAACTTATCTTTTTTTAAATAATTTTCATATAATTATTTGCTGTAAAAAATAAAAATTTTACTTGTTTGCACGTAATAAATAATTGAGAATAATAGTACTTATATTAATCAAACAAATATCATTTTCACTAATAGTATGGTAACGATAACAAGCCAATGTATGATGTCTTGTACAACACAGTGACAGTGCGATGGCTCTGATATCAGCAGGGATATTAGTAAAGCATGCAGGAAGGCAAAACGAAGTGGTATGTAAAGAAAATCATAACGACGCGCTCGCAAAAATCGCCAATTGTTCTATCATGAGTTATGCGTGATAAAAAAATATGCGTGTTAAATGATTCGCAAACAATGAATTTTGTGAAAATAAATATGTTAGATTTTGCCAAATAATAATGATAAAATCACTTGTAAAGCTTTAAATGACTATCAAAGCAGTAATTTTTGAGATATAAGCGATTGATAAATGTAGGCTCTTGGCAAATATCAGATTGTAGCTATTTTAAATCAACTTTATTTGATTAGAATATTAGTTTCCAATTAAAAAAGATATTTAATATTAAAAATAAAATATTTGTTAACAAAATTTGATTCAAAGTCTTGTTTGCGGCCCCGAATATTTCAGATTAGTTCTATTAATAAAATCTCAGCTTGCGTAAAAAAGAAGAAGCTTCCGCTCAATTCACGATAGCACTGTAGGCATTGCATCTGTCTAACGCGCGTCAGATTCGCGAGCGCGTCAAGCTTGAGAAGCGTGTTGTAAACATTGAACAAGCGAGAGGGCCCGCGTCGTGCAGCGGAGAGACCGCCCGCCGTCGGCCAGTCCCTCTCGTTTTACTCACTGTCCGATTTGCCGGATGAGAAATCAGTGCTGTGCGTCTTGTCGCCCATCCCGCTGAATGAATAGTCGCCCTAGACGACAGAAAAGCGTTATCTTAGAAAGGCGTGATGCGCTCGGCCGTCGCAGATCGGCTCTATGTACTCTCTTTTATATACGTATATTATTTTGCACTATATCAGCGCGGTGTGCACTGTCGCTTCGTCGACTGTGACTTGCGGTGCGAGACTTACAGGGAGAGCAGACACGGAACCGCCGGTCGAGGAGAAGGTGTGACTTCGCGGTGCCAGACCGTACCCCGGCTTCGGGATGTGCCGAAGGGAGCTCACAACTGGTTTGCAAATCAGTCAATCGACAGGTATTACTGATTAGTCTCAGCGGTAACTTCTCAATTCGCTCAATCCCATACGAATGCCCAACGTTCGCTTGCCAGATTTGTCGTATCGTTAACTCTATCCGGAGCCATGTCGCTCCCTCGTGTCGCCAAATCACTGTCAAGGGATTCCTCCCCCCTCCCCCCATCTTTACGCCCCAATGATAATGTATTCGATACTATTTTACAATATTTCTCTACAACGCCGAATCAAGTAAAAAAAAAAAAAAAAAAAAAA